GTTGACCTCCCCAACTGATACAGAGCTCAAAGTGCACTACGCTATGCAGAGGAGGGCGCTCGCATTTCAGTTTGCAAATCTCATGAGCTATGCCCAACACAATGAGTGGTTCAGTTTTCTAGTTGACGCTCTTCATCGTGAAGCTCCACCGGGATTTCAGCGTCCAAGTCTTGCTCAACTTCTGCAATGCGACAGGGCAGCATGGACTCGACTAGCCAGCAGTCTTTCAACGATCCGTCAACGGGCTGATGGAACATATCCTCTAGGTGAAGCACTGCTAGACCTTCGTGCTGATCCAAACATTGTCCTCTACTTGTCGCCAGTTGCAAAGCCGATTTCAGTTGCATCGGAGTCAATTTCTTGGCGGGCTCAGCCCTACGGATCACAGAAGGGCTCGGAGCGGGGCACAGAGAAAGGAAAAACAAAGGGAAAGGGCAAAGGCAAGTCGTCTGCCCCTTCAATGCCTGCGGAACTACGAGGCAAGTGGTACAAGAATGCTCAGGGAGAGCCGCTCTGCTTCGGCTACAACACTGCTGCAGGCTGCCAACATTCAAAGACAATCAAAGATGGAAAGCGCTGTCCGAAAGGTTGGCATCTATGTTGTGAACCTCGTTGCCAAGGCCCTCATCCATTGAGCAAGCATGGCAAGAGTGGGCACTGATCGTTTGCAGTGCAACCCAATGCATTGAAGTTTCAATTAATTCACATAGAACAGTTGTTTATGATCGAAATCTTTGCAGGTTACGGCGTACTGTGTGCAACTGCCAAGCAGTGTGGACTTTTGGGCAGTATTGATGATGACAAGGTTCGCAAGTCGGGTGCTTACAGTTCCATTGTCCAACTGGACTTGAGAAACTTGGAGCACAGGAATTTGGTCGCAGAGTGGATGCAATCTCCATTGTTCTGCTGGCTGCATTTGGCGCCTGTTTGCGGAACTGCAAGCAGAGCGCGTGAAATCCAACGGCATTGGTCTGACCCCAAGCCTCTCAGGTCGAATGACTATCCGCATGGCCTGCCTGACCTGTCGGAGAAGGATATGACCCGAGTCATTATTGCCAATGATTTGTTCGCATACAGTTGCAAGCTCTTTCAGGACGCAGCTGCTCGCAATATTTTAGTTACAATGGAGAACCCTTCGAATTCATATTTTTGGCTTACAGATGGGTTCACTCGCCTTAGGCAGAGTGTGGCTTTGACCATAACTGATTTTCAAGCCTGCATGTACGGTGGAAAGAGACCCAAATGGTCGAGACTTGTTGGGAACTTTGACGAACTCTCTCAGATCAACGCCAGGTGTGACAATTTGCATCAACATGATCCTTGGCGATTTGCCAAAGCTGATGACGGCTCCCATGTTTGGGCAACAAGTTTGGAGTCAAAGTATCCAAAACAGTTGCGCATTGCCATAGTACAATGCATCCTGCAAGCTCTACATCGTCAAGGCGCTGTTTGCTGCCAGCTCACCTACAAGAAATTCACTCACACCCTTTGCATGCTGCTCACAATGCGCAGATTCCTGTGGGAAACCAGCCCAGGGGTAACAAACTACCACAGATTGTTCCGGATTTTTTTTCAGCAGCAACATTTGCAGTGGCATCTTTGAGTGACATCCCTTGCAGTCTATTGAGCAAGCTTTCAAAAGATGTTGCCGCCTTCACTTTGGAGGGCGCTCCAGTTACCATTCCTTGCCACTCTCGTTTTCTGCGCTCATTCCCCCTCTCGACTCTTTCCAAGGGGGGTACTTCCGAGGATCTTGAGGGGGCCAAGAAGAGAAAATTTTCAGAAGAAGGTGTGGGAGTCGTTTTTGGACTTCCCTGGGACTGCGAATCTTTTATACAACATGCGTGCAATTCTGGACATCCTATGGCCAATGCACTGGCCCTGTCGGACGACCTGGAGATTGCAATGGCTAAACAACTGGAATTCGCTGAAGAGCAAACGGCGAACTACAGGATGTCCTGGTGCAGGAAATGGCTCAAAAGAGCTGCTCAACTGGCAGAGCAAGAAACAGCTGATCGTTTGAAGCGACCGGAACATGTCAGACAAAATACAGAAGCCAAACGCTTGCTACTCACTGAAGAGATCTTGCAAGACATTTCTTATGAAAATATGGGTGTGTTGGACATTCTTCGGCACGGGTCGACTTTGGTCGGGGATGTTCACAAGTGTTCGCTGTTCAAAGCACAGTACAAACCTTGCATGGCCACAGTTGAACAGTTGGTTGCAGGATCGGCCAGGAGGAATCAGGCAATAGTGAAGATGGCTACATCGTGTGGCGAGTTAGAACTGGACCAGAAGCTCCTAGAGGAGACACGTCTTGAGCTGAGCAAAGGTTGGGCAGAAGGTCCATTCGAGCTCTCCCAATTGGAACAGGGTTCAGTGATTTCAAGAAGGTTTCCACTTCGTCAAGGTTCCAAGATCCGTATGATCGATGACTACTCTGTCAGTGGGGTCAACGAGTGCACCTCCACCCATCACAAAATCGATCTGCGCATGGTCGACACCTTTGCAGCTCTCATGAAAGAACTTTTTCGGCGCTGCGAGCACTTTGGATCTCATTCGGAGTTCCTTGCAAAGACCTACGACCTGAAGAGCGCCTACCGTCAAGTTCCGATCCGAGGTGAGCATTTGAAGTTTGCTTACTTCTGCATATACAACCATGAGCTTGATAAATCGGAGATCTACAGAATGAAGACTTTGCCTTTTGGTGCAACACACAGCGTTTACAACTTCCTCCGATTGGCTCCTTCCCTACATAGCATTGCGTGTAGAGGTCTTTTTCTGCTTAATACTAATTTCTACGACGACTTCATTTTGGTTTGAAAGGAAGCAAAACAGAAGTCGGCGCAACATGGTATGGAAATGATTTTTCTTTTGACTGGCTGGGAATTTGCTCGAGACGGCGAAAAAGCAACCGACTTCGCCAGGATTTGTCATGCCCTCGGAGTAGAGTTTGACCTTAGTCTTGCTCGCGACCGTATCCTGTCCATTGGTAATACTGAAGCACGAAAGCAGGAGTTGATCGAGCACATCGATCGAATGCTAGTCAACGGTTGCATGTCGAGGCATGAATCCCTCGTCCTTCGAGGGAGGTTAGGGTTCGCTGACAGCTTTGTTCACGGAAGGTTGGGCAAGATGGTTCTGAACAGGATTGTTGAACACGCCTATGGCACAGAAGCTCGCATTGGCAAGCCTCTCGAGAGTGCGCTGACCTGGATGCGCCACCGACTTCTCACCTGCAAGCCCAAGAGAATAGACTCGACTGATCTGCAGCAATTCTTTGTTTACACTGATGCGGCTTTTGAACCAGAAACCTCCACCGGAGGCTTGGGCGCTGTACTGGTGAGTGGAGATGGCATTTGCATTGCTTGGTTTGGTATCTTCCTTGATTCCAACTTGTGTGAGGTGTTTGGATCCTCTCGGAAAGACACGATCATTTATGAGCTGGAAGAACTTTGCTTTTGGAAACCTGACGGTGCACTTTGGAGACAATGATGCAGTGCGTTTCGCGCTTATCAAAGGAAGCGCACAAGGAGAGATTGGAAATGCTTTGATTTATTTGCAGCTCGAACTTGAGTCTGAACTCGGTTCGCATCTTTGGTTCGCTAGAGTCCCGACGGAATGTAATCTCAGTGACCACCCCTCTCGCTTTTCAGTGCATCCGCTCCTTAAGGATGAACAGTGTTGCACTGCAGAAGCTGGCAAAGAGTTCTTTGAGTTTTTGCACACCTTTCGTCAGACGATAAGGGCCAAACAATTTTAAATCGGGCAAGGAGTGCTTGGACCCCAGACTTTTGTAGAAAAGGTGTGCGCAGCTTTGAGTTTTACTTCATGCCATCAAACGATTCGAGACTGATAAGCTCGTCGAAGACGATCGTTCGGTCTCGAGAGAGTTTAAGCGACATCAGGAGCAGATGGCAGTTTCATTTGCAATGTTTGGCTTAAAGGGTAAGGTGGGTGGGCTTGCTTTTCTCCCGGCCGAAAAGTGAGCCCACCCACCCAACCCTTTTTGCCCCAAGCTTCCACTTTCAAGTTCCGCTGGGGCTTTGATGACAGCTACAGCCAAGCCCTCAGCCCAAGGAGTTCTTGGACCCCAGACTTTTGTAGAAAAGGTGTGCGCAGCTTTGAGTTTTACTTCATGCCATCAAACGATTCGAGACAAAAAACGCTACTGGCGAAAGAGTGTGAAGACCTCGCACCTGGGAGCGCTGAGCTACAACGCAACGTGCCAGTCAGTGGTGGTTGTTGATTGAGTCAGGACGTTGAAGCAGTTGGAAAGGTTTGGTGTGATCGCCCAGTTGTTCCAAGAGTGTCTTCACACAGCACCTGACCGTCATGGCAAACTACTGCGTAATTGCGACCTCATGTTTCTGTGACCCACACTGCGACAGAATTGCGCATGCGTCAGACTCATTTCTCGATGAAGGCTCCAAGTCTTTTCACCACATCAAGGGTTGGGCAGGCCCTAGGCCCTAGCCCGGGCGTGGGCAGCGTGGTGGCCCGGGCGTGGGCGGGAAGCGCTTCCTGCCCTATCCTTGAGCTCCATGGCCCAAACACATGGCATGTCCGAGAACATGTCGGCGAAGCATCGCTGTGAGCGTGGTCTTCCTGTTGTCTGTGGTGCTGGCGGGGGGCATCGTGGCATCGTGTCGTCTGCGACACCGGGAACCATTTGGTGTTTGATGCAGGGAGCCTTTTGAAGATCCTTAAATTGATTGTGCGAGTGAGAATGACCAGGTCTTGACTATGCAGTTGAACGGAGTTACACGTTAGTGCCCTTTTCCTTCATCATGGCTGATTTCACCTGAATTAATGTAGACCCAGCACCGGACAAGCAGTGAATTGGGATGACACTTTCGTGTGTGAGATTGACGCCTGCACCGGCTGCTCATGGAGAGGCCATCTCTTTGAACTCCAAGATCGCCACATCGAAAAGTTTCACTCGGCCACTGCTCACCTTAGTGCACAGCCGAGACCCTGCTGGGTCCTGAGCCACTCAATCTTCGTTTTTGGTACATGGCCCCATAGGTCGTACAGACTTGTTTGCCAAGGTCCGAACCACGACGCAGGCGACACAAGATGACATAGATTCTCAAATGACGCACGACGAGGCAAATGGAGATCGTGAACTTGAGCAGTGGTCAGTGGTCAAAACCGTTATTTACAATTGTAATTCGGTTATTGTATGATTCGTATGGGATAGTTGGTGCTGCTGTCAAATTAGTTTATACTAATTATTAGTTATTACAAATTACTTGTTTGTTTTTTTAATCTTTGGATTTTTGCTATGTTTTGTAATCGTCATGGACATATCTTCTACACTTCAGAAACATCATGGCCCGTCATGATTGTAACCTGTCTGGCCAGCTTGGCTGGTCAGGTCTCTGAGAATTGGACGGCCTGGTCATTTGAGAGCTGATGTCTCAGCTTCGCATTGTTTCGTTGGATCCTGTCAGTTCTGACAGAATCCAACTCGCAGTGGATAGAGGATAGTGCAAAGTTAAGCCCATCAAGGAAGGAATCGATGGTGAAGGATCCAAGCAACTTACCACCAACGATCCAATGAAATCAACGGTTTGCCTTGATCGACGTCAACGTTCCGCAGCTTATTCTTCCACCGGTCATTAGGACGAGCATACGCCCGCCTATTCAATGGATTTGTCTCACATTCTGAGGCTCAGAGCAGAACCTGGATCCATCTCCCGACAGAGGCAGCTGGAGTTTTGTCCGCCTTTCTGGGTCACTTCTCTCAACACCAGTGGAACAGCGGTGTAGGAGATTTTCCGTCCTACTTGTTGTCTGCAGATGTGCAAAGGTGTTGAGACCGTGTGTTGATAGCTGCTTTGGAGTTGACTTGTACAGGATGGTTTTGATTTGTCAAATTATGTACAAACCACAACACAGTTTGCATAGAATGTTGTATATATATATATGTAATATTTTGGATATGGTTTGACATGTGTACCTTAAACATGTTTCTTTCATTATAGGGATGCAGGCGAGGAAGCCGTTTGTCCCTGCCAGGCACCAGTCCTGTACCTGACACAATTCACTCAACGACTGGCGCTCCGGTCATGGTCAATGTCCCGACGCTTGTCGCAGGTCTTCGACATCCAACATGTTGCCCAAAGAAACCGACAGAACTCTTGACAGATGCCCCACTTTTGTGCCTACTGTCTTGTGTCGAGTACCGGTAACAAGTAGCTTCTGTGAGAAAAGAGAAATGGCCGTACAGTCTCTCAATCCAGTGGGCGCAAAGAAAACCAACTCCTTTTCTTTGCCAGACAAGAGAAGTCACGTGAAGTCACGAGAGAAGTCACAGACGAGTCACTCGAGCCCCACCCAGGTCCCACGCCGAAGCCTTCTGTCGCTGTGCCCAGCTGGGCGGCACGACGCCGCCGGAGGGCCTTGAGAACTGGGCGGAGGTCGGGCGGAGTAATCAGAAAAGGTAGGCTTCCAACCGCCCCTAGCGATGGCCTCCACCTGTCTAACTAGCTTTTTGTTACAGGTTTAACTACCCCTGCAGGTAGTGAAACGGAAATTCTTCCCCCATCAGACTGCCCGCCCTTGCTGACCTTGTCACACGACTTACACGAAACAAGAACGAAAAAAACCTACTGGGTTCTTTCTGTGTGCGCCATGCTTTTACCGGCCGGCCCTACTAAGTAGGGGGCCGCTTCCCATATGAGCGTCTCCCCAAATCCTCGTGATTCAATTTCAGTCGTAGTGTTGTTTACCTACATGAACAATCTTCAATCCTAGAAAGATGTTCATCTAAGATCATTTTCTTCCTTAGTTCCACTATCGGTCATGCATCCGATGCTCGCTCATGGTGAGGAGTAAGACAGCATCCTTTCTCCTTCCCGAAAGCATCGGTCATGCTGTCGCCTGAGCTCGACCCGGTGCTGTCAGGTGGAGTTGCAGAAGCTTCTGAAAGAGTCATGGCTATCGCTGGTGCGACGAGTCGAGGGGCGCGCGGGAGGAAGTGGTATGCCTTGGCAAGGTCCAACTGGTCACCAACATGGTGGGGTTGACCGAATGGCTGGCAGTAGTCCAATGACAAATAAGCATTGAGTAACAGTCAACAACATAATCAATTGACTTTTTTTGGCTCTATTGGTTAAATTGGTGTACCTCGCAATACTCTCCTGAGGAGATGCGGGAGCGGCTGCGGCTGTACATCTATCCCACCGACTTCCATTGCGACCAACGTAGGTGCAACGGTCGTCATGTTGGGCCGGAAGATTCGACATGTGATGGACAGATAGGTCATGGACTTGACAGCAGCTACTATTTGTCCTACAGTATGTGTATATATATATATATATATGGAGTATGTTCAAGTATGATGTCAATGTGGCACATGATCTTTTGGGCGGAAACAGAGAATTAACGGCCTGGCATGTCCTGGGGTTCGTTACGACCACAGGAAGGCATGGTTTTGTGGGGCAACGCAAGGCACGGCACCGATGGAGCCGGTCTCCGGTCGTCTCCACCCGACGGTGCATCCGCGAGGCCCAAAAACACCAATCGCGGGTATATGGCGGAGTGGAACTTCTACGATCGAGCGCGGAAGTCCTCGTTGCGAGTGACATGGCGGATTATTGACATGGCTGCTGAATTCACGTTTTTTTTGGGCGGATCTTGGGTTTGAGGACTGCGGATGTGTCACACATTTTCATGCAAACCCTGCAGATTTTTCTGCACCCATTCCGTGAGGTTCAAGACCCTGAGAATGCCAGCATCTACTACATTCCAACCTTTACAAGTTGCTGGCGGTCACAAGTGTCCTGGCCTTGACCCTCCCATGATATGCCTGCTTTTTTGCGGATCATCTCAATGAGTCTCGGTGCGGAACTACCTCCCAGCTGTAGCTTCGCGGTTTCGCTGAAGTCGACTGCTCAGGGTAGGAGCAGAGGAGAAGGAGGACAGCAAGCAGGAAAGCGCATGCAGCAAATGCTGAAGGATGTGGCATCCAACTTTCCCTTTTTCCAGAGGCCGAGTCTGTTCTACGGGAGGGGATTGAACTCATGTCTCACAGAGAGCCCTCATCAACCATGAAGCACTCATGTTGCCCTGGAAGAGAGCTTCAACATCGGATTGACAGATGTCTATGGGATCCATGATGACACGAAGGCTTTGGTCCGGTGATATTCCAGCTGCTGTGCCCAGAAACCGCTTCTGAGCTCTGGTCAGGAACCATGGACAGCGGCACATTTGGGTCTCCGCTCATGTGCCTCGCTGGCAGCTGCAGTCAATGAAGTCAAAACCTAGAAAACCCCACACACCAGGTGAGGTTGACCTGGTAGTTCCTTTTGTCATTTCAGGGTCAACCAAGTCATCTTCCTGGGCTTGACCCACAACCTTTTAGTCTTTTAGTCACTGAAGGTGGCTCATAAAACAACATGGAACAACTAGCAGACGATGCATCTTCAAGTCTAAGAGTCAAGGCTCCCTCTTTCCCATACATGTATATATAAATATACACACATACAGTGTGTATATATAGACACACACACACATTTAGAGCTTTCTTGCCAATGTTGTGGTCAGTGGTCATCTTAAGGACATGGGCAAAGCCGAGCCTCTGCTTGTTGGATGCAAACAGAACACTGGTCCTAGCTTGTGCAGCGATGCTGCACTGAGTTTGACAGAGATGTTGGCGAAGAACAGTGTCTAGGTCGCACTCCAAGGGGTGCAAAATGGTGTAAAAGTATCATGTTCACGTCAACAGGGAGTGAGGAACCGTTCAGCGTATGGGAGATGGATAAATGACACAACATAAGTGGAACCCCAAATGACTTGCTTACAACATGTTGAAGCGTAAGAGAGAGAACTGCCAGAAAGCAATTTGATTTTGGCACCATCACACAAAAAAGAGTTCAACCTTTTCCTCCTTCGTCCTTTTGTTGGACGGGGCCTTGAACCCCCTTATGTTCATCTGCGAAGCGACTGAGCCGAGCCCTGAGCCGGGCGGCCCCACGGGCCGAAGCCCCAGGTTCCGCCTTGGTCAACACGGCGGACGATGCCGAGCACACGAAGTTGGAGAGCTTCGCCGCGTGCGGTTTGGGCGGGGATGGTGGCTCGTGGTTCGTGCCCCAAGTAAAACCCCAAAGGGTGACAGAAACTGCGAAAAGTCGAGAAATGTTGAGGAGTTAAGAGTTGTTTGATTTCTTGTGTGCCAGTTGTGTTGCCAGTTGCGTGGAGTGTGAGATCCAGCTAGCTGGCCGTCTGAAACTTCAGTGCTTCTGTGGTTGGAATCTCCTATGACCTGGAGGCTGTTTGACCTGTGTGCAGACACCCTAGCAATCGACATGGGTCACCCTAGCAGTCGACCCTCGCCATCCAAGACATGGCCGTCCGTCTCTGTGAGCTTCTTTCAGAACCAGTGCTTCGGAGGTACGGCTTCAACAGGCACTTAGACGTGCCCTTAGTCTGCAATGGTGATACATCTTTCGCTTCAAGGGGTGCTCGAGCAGCTTGGTCGCAGCTCTTGGTGAAAAGAAGCAGAGCCGGGAAGAAGAGCAGCTTCACCCGGTGGGTGAAAGACGAAGATGGGTCATGTTGAAAGTGATTGGGGTATCATACTCATGACGAGAATGATGAGAGGGATGAGCATGCTCAGGTGCCTCTCACGGGGCGTCCACGAAAGAATTCCGTCTTCTTTGCTGGACGATGGGATCAGAACTACGTCCCCGTGCGCTTCATTGCCATCAGGATGTGGTGGTTGATTTGGGCTTTTGGATGTGTCGACAGGCTACACAAGCGTCGAGAGACGCTGTAGAGTTATGCGAAACACACACACACACATATGTTACATATTATATACACATCTTTTTTTGTTGTCAGCACTCCATGTCCTTCTAGGCTTCTTCTGGACTTTTGATGCTTGTATTGTAAGTAGACTGCGCAGCTAGGATGCTTTGTTGCTAGTTTTTTTTCCTGCAATATCAGCTAGTTTAGCTACTTCAGCGGTGCGGTGCGGTGTTTACCCTCATGTCTTAGACTGGTGGCTCCAGTCTGTCCAGGAGCATTATGGAAGCAAAGCTGCATAAACCAACGAGTTTCAACAAGAAGATTGGCCCTCAGGTGCATCCCTCGCTTGCAGCGCTGACAGGATATGAGTGGATGCGTGAAAATCCTGCGTGACATGAGCGGTGCTGGAAGTGCCAGCAACAAGTGTCTCATGATTCTTTTCTTGCTGTTGATCACTGTCACACATCCATTGGATGCATCTTTAGTAGGATCCTTGAAGGCCAGGCAAAAAAATCCTTCCTCCACTTCATTGTCCCACCTAAATGAAGAAAACGGGGGAAGGGAGGGGACCAAAGGGTCCTTGGCTACCCAATGTCACCCCCATGTGTTCGACCCGCAAGGACGGTGGAGGTTGGACCCTGGGACGTTCGTTCGTTCGTTCGCCAGGCCTACGAACGGAGCTTGGCCGAGTCGGATCTGTGCCTGGCGCCGCGCGGCTCGCGGGTGTGGAGCCCTCGGCTCTTCGAGATGATTTGGTTCGGTTGCATCCCCGCGACTCGGAGAGGCTTCACACAGCCCGGAGCATTGGGATCATGAGGGTGGTCCGGGGAGTTCTGGGGAGTGAATTGATGGGTGGTGGTTGTGTCTTGTGGTGGTTGTGTTTCTGGGACTGCTTTTTGTTCTGTGGCCCTTGAGGGTGGTGCTGCCCAGTTGTTTCAGGTTGAAGTCTGGTTGCGAAAGCAGCGACTGATGTATGTTGCAACATCTGAATTGTGCGGCACTCTTCGAGATTCGATGCATAATATGCACGGCAGGGGTATGAAAGTGGAGACCAAGGGCGAGCAAAACAGAAAAATGTTAGACACCATTTCTTGAGATTGCCACGGCTGATGTTCTTGGCGCAGAATCAACACCATATACCCATATCCTGTAAGTGACTGTGATTCTCCGTCACCACAGACCAATTGCCACTCGGTTATACCACGACTTTCCTTCCTTCAGCATATGTTTGTTCTGTGTGCTTTCTTTCTGCATTGCCGAGGGGTGTGGTGTTTGACCCGTCTGACCCAGCCAAGGTGATCATTGCTTCAGGGTGTCTTAGCTAGAACTCGGTCCGGCTTGAGCCAAGCACGAAGAGTACTAGCCTGTTTTATCGTGAACCAGCACTAGTACTCACAGTATCTCAGTACTGACTGTATCTCGTATGATGAGATGGGCGTCGAAGCCGTGAACCTCAAAATGGCCATCTCACCCAGGGTGTGGTTTGAATGAAGCCAGAAGGTTGTAAGAAATTCGATGGAGAAGCCAGTCGCTACAGTGATGTTAGTCGCTACAGTCGCTATAGATACGAACAGCTCGTGGCCATACATCCCATAGCGAACGTGGCTACAGTGGGATGCGGCACAGATCGACAGATCGCTCGCTCAGGTATCACCTGCCCGCGTCTTGTTTCTTCGACTGGAGGGAATTTTCAATCTTCATCGAAGACAAAGATGCTCACAAGGCCACAGTCGCGCGCGCGAGCGCAAGATGTTGTTGTGGTCAGGGGGTTCTGTGAAGGTCCTGGTGCAATTTTTCTTTATCAAGGCAAAAGAAGCAAGATTTATCTAAGATATGCTCAAGGAAACAGACTTTGGTACCACCTGGTGTAACATGACACTGTATCCATATCTCCATTGCACCTCAAACTACACTGGCGACATTCCCGCAGGCCGGGCAGATTCTCAAGACATACTTGGACGACCCAAAGCGGTTGGAACAGATGAGGCGCAAAGTCTTCCGAATTCGGAAGACTTTCATGTGGCATGACGAGGACAGCCTGGCAGTCTGTTTTTTGAACACATTGGGACAAATGGAGAAAAGCACGAGAAGCAAGCGGTATTGCAGACCTTGGCCAGTTGTGCAGCAGGGGCTAGTAGGCTTCTGATAGCCTGATGCACGAGACTTTTGGACTTTTTCTAGCCTGATAGCTGAGTATGCCTCACTCCATTGCTTTCCGTGTTGCTTTCTTCGGCCGTACTGGATCGGGAACGGCATCGGACCGGACGCTCGAACTAGGACACCAATGGAGATGCTTTCGAACTGGCTTTGCTGGATGTCTACCTTAAGCAGCAAAGACAATGTGGCTGAGAAGGTGGTAGAACATATACCACCTGCGAGAAAAGGAGGAGAATGACGGTGCATTTCATGTCACATTGGCTCAAGTTGCAGGCTTGTTTCATGTTGTTTCCATGGCTTGCTTTTGCATGAGACTTGCGTGTTTCTTCTGTTATTTTTGTTGTTCGAGGTTAGAGATCATTTTGAACATGTCATGCACTTGTAAAGCACGAAAGACGTGCACGAGAGCCGATGTCAGACAGAGCCGAAGTCGCTTTCCTGGTCTCAGAGTCGGACGTGAGAGGGTGCCCGGAGTTCGTCTCCAGAAGGGTTTCACATCTCCAGATGGGGGTTTGATTCATCAACAGGCTTTTCAACATTTTGACACATGTCATGTCACGGCAGTGTCAGTTCGTACGAATTCTTTTAGGCCCTCTATTCATGCCCACACTTCAACAAAGCTTCCAGTGACTGGCCTTACGTCTGTTCCCAATTTGGGAAGGTGCCTTTTGTTGTCCATGGTGTTTCATGGAGTAACTTGTAGAGCCGCCACTCAGCCACTCGTCATGGGGCTGGTGGATGGCCCAGACACGTCCTTGCCAGTGCGCCGACGTGAAGAGGCGGGCGTGGGCGTCCGCGGGCGGTCCCATGCCAGCGACGTGGCTCGAACCGACGTGAGGTTCTGGGTGGAATGAAACCAGCTCGAGAGCGTACTGAGTACTTGAGTACTGTAGTTCTGCTTCTGAAAGTCTCGGATGGTGCCTGCTGAAGGAAAGCAGCAACTGTTGGCATGTACTTCCCATTGCATGGTAAGGCTGTAAGGAATCCAAGCACGAAACCTGTGAGTTCCGCCGCGCGAAATGAATCGGTTCGTTGACTCCAGGGCCACTGGCTTGCTTGCCTCCTGGGGAAAGGCTTTGCGCTGGAAGGATGTCTTGGCGGGATTGAAAGAGCTGGTGCTGCCCTCAGCTCTTTGGAGCTAAGAGCCAAGATGCGCCCAAGATTCTTGCCAAAAGGGCGAGTTGTGCTGCGCAGAACCAGTGAATCTTTTGATGTTGCTTTCGTTTATTTTCTTTTCTCCAAATGAGGATCTATATATTTGAACTCCTTAGGGCCTTAGGGACTGGTGCCAACTGGCTTACTTTTTTTTGCTGGTATTGTCTTCACTACCTGATGATCAACGGCGGCTTCTCCAAAAGATGGACACTTCATGAGCCCACGTGAAGCGACCTCCACTCCTGAGGTCAAGACTCCCAGTGCGGCCTTTAGTTTGCCGAAGTGAATCAAGTGGATCAACCTTCCACAGTCAGAGATTGGAATTTGCTTCTCCTGGCATCACGGGACTCTCTTTGAGAGTGTCCACATGAGGCAACCTCGAGTCGTGGCCTCAGTGCGAGGCCGTGGGGGTGGGGGTGTTTCCCGTGACGAAGCCAGAGCCCAAATTGCATGTCCATGTTTCCCATAGCCAGGGAAGGTTGTCCATGGTTAATCAGGCCCAGGCCGGCAATGCTTGATTCTAATGATCGCAGATGCATGAAGACTTGCGACTATTCTGAAGTCCATGGAGTTGGTGCTGTGAGTGACAAAATCACCTTCCCAAGATATCAAGAGTATGCAAATTCGTGGTGTGCGCCCTCTTCCCATGGCCCCACTTGAGGCCAAACGTCGTGACATTCGGTGTCGCCATTGCTGCCTGCGTTAGGTGCCGGAAGGGCGGGTGCACAGGTTTGATGGCAGAGGGAGCCCCTGTGCCTCATGATGCCCTGTACTTGGGGATTGCTTGAAGTGTCATTTGCACCATTTTGCATCCACTTCCAACACCGAAGCGCTTTATGAGGATGGGGAGAACCGAAGTTGCTTGGACAAACGCCAGAGAGATTTGCTTGGACAAGCATTGCAAGTATCGGATGTTGCTCTCCTTGGCCTTGTTCCCCATTGCTCTTGCCGCTCTTGCCAGGGCATCGGCATGGGCCAGCGCACTCCAGGAGTCTCTTGTGTTGCGTCAAGAGGGGTTGGAGTTGGAGCCTGAGATAGAAACAGCTGGGCAAATTGACTCCCATCAATGCAAAAACGGTTTGGCTGGTGGCCACATCCGTCGGGGTTTCAAACACTTCTTCCATGAGCAGTAAGAAGTTCCATCCAAGTCGGTGGACCAATGGAAGTCCGACCCTTCAAACGTCCTGGCGGCGTCCGGTGGCTGTGAGTCATATCACCTTGGAGGTCTGATCCATCCGTAGTGAACGACCAACACCAGGTAGGTCAACGGCCTAGGCCGAGCCTGATTAGTGCGAGCTCGGTGATCTCTGCGAGCGGGGCCGCTTGGAACCAAAGGGAGGGACCGGAAGGGCAGTTGTTACTTCAGGGTAGAAGGGTGTTCACCGAATTGATCTCGACTCTATCTACTTTTGAACCATTTTGGAGAGGACTCACTTCTATACACCATTGGCTTTCCTTCCATTTGTCCTTGGGTCTCGTGAAGAGCCTTGTGCCTTCGCCTGCATAGCCTGTATCCAGGTGAGAAGAGCAACTGGTGCCATGCATTGCATTCACTGATTGCTTGAGCCCCAGTCTCCTGGTGCTTTTGCTGCTTGTTTGTGGCAAAATGCACTCAGCTCAAATCTGAAGGATTCTTTGGCTTGTTTGTTCCTTTTTCCTCAACAAAGAAGATGACACATCCAGACGTCAAGACATGTGTTCTGCGATCATTCTTGCTGATGAGGACCTGCAAGCGAGCTTCTTGGTTGCAGACCTGCAGAGAAGTCGTATGTCGTCGCATGATTGTGTTTGCAACAACTCCAAATGAAGGACCAGAATGTGCGATCGATGCATCGAATCCTTTGAGATGTAGTTGATCAACTAGACAAATTTTCTCTGAGTGTTTAGGCAGTTCTCCAAGCAGCATGGACATCAGGTGAAACAATCCGGGTGTGTGTTTTAAGACGAACAAGACTGCCTTCGCTGTTCTTTTTTCGTTCACCGTGGGTCGACCGTCGACTGTCGACCTGTTTTTCTCCCTCAGAACCTTAAGCCCTAGGTGATTTGGAGCCAAACGCGGTGGGCTTCGGTGCTGTTGCTAGCCTGGCTGGTTTGAGCAACTTCAGAGCAGCTATTACAACTGGAACGGGTCTGATGGTACCAGGTACGGCAACCAGGGCATACGAGTGAGCATATGCTTAGAACATGCAGGCTTCCCGGTCGGTTTTGACCCATTGTAGCTCACTTTGAGAACAGGAGGTCCCGGTTTGACAATTGTCCACCGGAGCCTGATTTTTCAGTCTTGATAATCAATGCCCGTCTATGTCTGCGCTGAAAGTTCTCCCAGACCTAGCGAGAAAGGTTTTTGTTCTTTCAGAATGACTTGAAGTGATCTTTCTTCTGGTGGGAGATTTCTCTTAGAAGTTCCTTGAGCCCAAATAAATCTGGATTTCAATACCTTCACCTTGCAAGTGCAGCCCAGCCCGAAACACGGACATCCAACAGAGGGATGCTTCTTGGCACGGCGCCGAACAGTGCCAGGCCAGCGCTTGCGAGGCCAGCGCCGGTGCTTGGCGGGTGGCGGCCGAGGCGACGCTGCAGCTGCGGAGGCGAGTGAAACTGTGGATCGCGAGGTGAAGACCTGTTGCTGATGGAAGAGATGCTTTTTCTGTTGCTGAGGGTCATGAAACAGTAGTTTTTGGAAGCTTTGTTTGGCTGGTTTTCTGGCTCGGCTTGTTTTGGAGGCCGAACGTTTTGAAGGCTTGTTTTTGATGACCTCAGTCAGCCAGTCATGCACACGAAAACTCGCGAGGTTGACCCGCTTCGGGAGGTTGACAGTGGACTGGGTAAACAAGCTCGGTGTTTACGTGACAGCATTGTTGCTGCTGCTGTTGCTGGCACTAGGGCACTAGGGTTTTACCTGTTGTTACATGTTGTTAAAGCTCCGACAATTTGTTTGTGCGGCCACTACTGTGTTGCAAGCTGTTCAATCGGGCCAGTGCCGCGCCCTGTGCGCCTGCAGGGCTGGCATCGAAGCCAGCGTGGTGCTCTTGAACGCTGTCAGCTCGGCCTGTGAGAAGGCGCGGTAGGTGGACTTCGGATGGGAGACGAGAGCGAAAAAAGCAGAAGGCATCGGGGACTGGGCTGATTACATAGCTACTATCTTGGTCACGGACTATTCTTTTCCTGAAGAATCTTTACCTGTACATTTTGGGCGTGCTTTCGAAAACTTTGCTTTAGTGGAAAGGCTGTTGTTTTGAATGCCCTTGCATGTTTTCCTGTTCTACTTCCTGATAGTCAGGCATGCGCGCAAGATGAGGCGTTGACCAGGCTGCAGGGTGCGGTGGGGAGGCCTCTAGATTGCAGGATCAAAGGACAAATTAAAAAGGAACATGATCCAAAAGAAGAACAGGACCAACAAGAAATAATCACAGGATAACAGGATTCACAAAAGCCAAATTCCGGATCGTCCTTTGGTCTTCCGGTCCTTTTCCTGGTCCGCTGGCCAGGGTGGTCCATGGGTCCAAAAACGCGAGGTGTGCGACGTTCGTAGGTACTTATGCGAATTGGGTGACTATCCGGTTGCCTTGGTCCTTCGGTCACCTTCGAACCTTCTGGGTGCTAATCGATCGGGCAATGGGTGTTGTTGTAGTTTTGGATGGTCTATTTTGTGGTGCCTTCCGAGTCTGATGGCTTTTGATTTGAGGTTCGCTCTGGGGGAGGCGCTGCGTGCTCCCCCCCCAACCCCCCTCCAGCACCACGAAATCAGCACTGCGCCTGCCACAACAGTTACCTTTCAAAGGACACCCATCTCATCTCCACACCAATTATATACAAATATTGAATGTCTTTTTGATTGCATATAGGTGTTGGAAACATCCTTTCATTGTGCTCTGGTGGGTGGTGGGCCCACCTTTGCCGTTTCCAGCATTTCTATCCTTTCACTATCTTTTCTATTTCTCGCGGGGGGACTGCCTGGACCCTTTGTAGCCCTGCTGCTGTTGTCCTTTCCCCAGTCTTTTTTCTCCTTTCGTTGTAAGCAAGCATCCAGAAAGTGAATAGACTAGTCAAACCAGAAATGGTTCATGATGGATCATGCAGGGTTTGGACTGCCAGTGCTTTGGATTCCAAGCGCTTGTCGATAGGTTAGATTGGCCAGTTGGCTGCATGCCCTTGACATAACAATTGCTCCTGACTGAGGGACTGACTGACTGACTGATTGACTGACTGACTGACTCACTGACTGACTCACTGACTGGCTGGCTGGCTGGCTGGCTGACTGACTGACGCGCTCTTTCGTTCAAAAGGAGGTTGGTGGGATGCCCAAGTTCCCGGGCAAGAATCTCTCAATGAGTCGGCTAAGCCTTACATGCTCCCCCAAACCTGCATCCGAACCCGAACCAGAACAGTTCCCGTTCAGGTTCAGGGTGATTTTCAGCAGTTAGAGCCGACTTCACCGTTTGAATACTGCTACCTGGTAACACGGTCCAGGTCTTCTTTTGGACGCTCTGTAAACCCTTCTGCCTTGGAAGCAGGCCGTGGCCTCTGGCGTTGGCTTTGCTGTCCCTGGCCTCCTCATGGTGGCTTGAGTGGCTCGCCATGGCTTGGGCTGCAGCGGCTACAAGGGTCAAGGAACGTAGGTTTTTGGTTCAACAACCGTTGTGTCGAGGTCAAGGAACAAAACTCCTTTGTCTTCTTTGGGAGCAGATGCTTTGTGCCACACATGGTTGCACTGGGCCAGACTTGGGATGGTGCGCATTGCACAAGGTTTGGTAGGTCAAGCGTGACCACCAAGTTTGCTTAAGGTGCTTGGTAGGAAATTGCCTCACAGCAAGAGGAATACCAGGGCGTTTGGAAAAGAGGCACGCTACCAAAGCCCGACGCCATTCCGTAAAGGGACGCCTTGGACGAATGCATGGCTTTTTGATAAGGCAAACTCTGCAGAGATGAGAGATGAAGGATGACGGCACCCGTCTGGGAGGGTCTTCTCCCAACAGAAGGGGGGATTCCACAAACACATGGATGTTCTTCATGGGAGGGCAGGGGTTGACCTATTTGGAGAGCTTCCAAGGACCATGAAACTCGTCTCGTGCCTCTTTTTTGCTGTAGGTCTCAATGAATCACCTGTCGAGGCCGGACACCGTGGCTTACAGCACTGCCATAAGCACGTGTGAGAAAGCTGTTTGGGAGCAGGCTGGAACACCGGGGAACATGGGAGAGAAGTAGCTTTTGCACATGGCACATGACTCACATGACCCATGCAGTGCTGTATACGATGCAGTGACCACTTGAATGGACGTCCCAACATCTGAAGAGACGCCACACGCACTGGCCTCTTGGGCCCCCCCTTCGTACCACAAGTGGGCCTGAGTACCTCAAAGGTGCATCTAAAAATGCTGGATTTGAGATGGCAGCATAACTTTTGAGCCACTCCAGATTCTCAGTGAGGAGGCTCTTCTTGAGGAGGCTCTTCGAGGATTGGGTGTGTCGCAGGGTCCAGGTGGATGCTTTCCCTGGTTCCTTGGTTCTGGGGTCCACACCACCTGAGTGACCTAGCCACCCACCTGACCAGGCCTTGGAAGTGCTTTGGGCAATGAGGTGCTGCAGGGGGTGGGAGTGAGGTCTACCCAACTCACCGGTTTTTTGCCTTCCAAACTTGGTGCCAAGGAAGGCTAGATCGGCTTCGGTGCCAACACGTCAACTGATAACTGGTGTCCATCGGACTTCCAAACTAGGGTTCGGTAAATGACTAGGTGCCAAATTTTTAAATGTTCCGAAGAGGAGGAACTTCATTTTCAGGGGTTCTCAGGTGGCAGGAACCGCGCAGATTTTCGATGCTAGCTTGGTCTTTTGCGGAGACCACTAGCGGTCCAAAATGGACCTGGGCACATTTCAACCTCCAGATCAAATAGACTCAGTAGACTTCTGCTGTTAGCAACGCTTTTGCCCCTGTCAGTCAAATGCACAAAGCGACTACGCAAGAAGGCAGCAACACTGTCTTCGTTTGGGCAATATGTAGCCAATCCTCCATGCCACAGCCAGTTGTTGCACCTCCGGACAGGGTGGGTACCCCTGAACAAAAAGCCGACCAATACTGGCGAAAGGAAAGAGATCCCAAGCCTTCCCGCTTGGCCGAGAAACGCCTCACCGACCGCGACCGGGACGCTCGTCCAGGTGCTCGTCCGTGAGGATGAACACCTATGCCTTCAATGCGGCGATCAGCGCGTGCGCGTCGGGGTACCATTGGGAAGGAGCGGAGGCCTCAGGGGATCAAATGAAGAACAGGTGGGGAGAAGAAGGTGACGTGGGAAGTCTCCCTCCCATGAGCGTACGACAAGATGATCGCCGATAAGCTCCGGCACGGTGGGAAGCTGCAACCGGTGCAATTTTTGGCACTCTTTCTTGTGGCTATGACGCCTCTCTGAGGCGTTTTGCCTATGGGATGAGATGCAAGCCATGCACGGATTGAAGCCGGATCTCATCACCTACAGTGCCTTGATTAGCCACTGGGCTGCGTTTCGGAACAGCCCACCGTTGGGCCAGGACGTTGAGCGTTTCCTTTTGTTTTTGTCGGCGGGAAACTTCTTGTCTTGAATGGACCCAGTACCTATAAGTTCACACGGGTCTTCTGCGAAAGAAGTGCTTGTTCGGACGGGTGAGGCGCTTGTGCTGAAGGGCTGAAGTGGAGGCATACCTTGGCACTTCTCAGCGAAGCTTGGCAGGGTTCGGAGCAGGTGATTTTCAGTCTCTTCTGGGCCGGTGGAGACTGTGGACTCCGAGCTCTGAGACGAGCTGGACTGGGAGGTCCGAGACTCACTGGCCTCGTGAATCCTCGTGTGGCCGATCGGGTCGCCCATATAGTGCGTTGGACCCGAAATGGCCAAAGAAACATGGAGGTCTTTTCCTTTTTCCTTGGGTACCTTCCAGAATCAAACTGAACTGCACCCATGGCAGGTGGTTTTTGTTGTCCTGTGTTCCAGCTGGTGGGTTCCTTTGTTTTGCTAGATCATTGTGTTTTCTGTTTTGGGCCTTAGGCCATACCACTCAAGACCCAAAACCGTTGTTTCTTGACGTCCCCCCCGTTCCCCCGGTCGTCCGAACGGCGCCCGGACCCAGGAGCTCTCCTGGTCTGCTGGGTCGAAGGATGGGGCAGCTCTCGGTTTCGAAGCTACAAGGGAGATCGGATATAGACATAATACATCATACACATAATATACACGCTACCCCCAAGACCTACCTTTTTGGGATGCGTATTTCTTTACAATAAGTCGGGCTTGCGAATATTGGAGATGGTCAAAAATTCAAAAAGCAGATTAGATTCTGCATTCGATCATCATAGATCATTAGAGAAAGTGACTCACATGAAACATCCGTGGGGTTCCTTGCTTCTCCGTAAGCCCCAGAAGACTGAATGCTCTGAAGTTGTTGGAATCTCACTCACTATCTCACTACATTTCAAGGCCGTTCCGTCGGCCGACTTCAACCCATACATCCCAAGAAGGTCAAACACTTCCAAGCTGAAAGTGCCAGAATCTGTAGCCTTTTTTTAGACCAACGAGATGGCTCCAAGAACCTCCTTCAATGAACTGCCTGTGCAAGCTCCCCTCCCCCAAACCTTCAAAAACCCTTTCAAGTTCTTTCATGTTGTCTCTTTTGTGCACAATGTCTTGTGAAAAAAAGCAAGGGGTGTCGGCTCTATGAAGCCACCCGAAACGACCAGACATGAACTGTGAACAACCGCAGCGCATGGAACAATACGGAACCATGCCGTCAGCCGATGCCGCTGTGCATGGCATGGGCATGCATGAACGGCTCGTGCATGGGCGGTCTGGAACGGTGACTGAGCAGTTACACTCAGCTACTCAGACACCCCTGGCGTCCCTTGCTCTCCAAAAGGCGTCCCTTGCTCTCGCTCCGTTCACCTTCAGTCCGCACGCGGCAGGAGGAAGCTGCCCAGCCGAAGAAGATCCAACCTGACCTGATCCTTTGCAACACTGTGATCAGTGCACGGACACTTGGAGTGACGGGGCAGGTTGAGTCCAATAGCAGCTAGCCTTTTGGGCTGACTGTTGTGCGGAGTCTAGATGATTTTAGAATCGTTATATAGCATTCTTGAGCTTTCTGGAGACAGAGACAGGATGAGTTTAACTGAGTTTTCCATAAAATTGAACAGGCTACTCCAGCCTGGTGAAGATGTTGGAAGCTGTGGGCTACTTTGCAGCCAGCCCACTGTTCACAAGTTCGGGTAACCCGCGCGAAAGAAACGACGAACCGCCGGCTCCAGGGGGTCAGTTGTGAGATGGGGTGGGAAGGAGGATGTTCCTAGACCAGACCTTTCGAGTATTTGAGACATTTTGAGACCCTTTCCATGCTTTCGGCCAAGGCCTGCGAGAAGGGGCACCAGTGGGAGAAGGCTTGGCGCTTGGGGATTTCAGTGAAGACTTCGCGTCTGCCTCGGCCAAACATTTCCTAGGCGACATGCAGGACCGGGGTCTATTCTTCACGTTGCGGCGCAAAAACGGCCGAAAGATCCTCGCAAACTGCGAAGCGCAAGATCTTCGTTTTGGCCCGTTTTGGCCGCAAGACCCCGTCCGTCCGTGTGGTTCCAAGCCAACCACCGTCCGTCCGATGGCAGGACGAACTTAGCCGTGGCCGAGACCATGGCCTTTTTTGGTTGATGCATCGAGGGGATACGCCGAAAACATCCGAACACCCCCCCTGTGAACCACCTCGTCCTCGTGCATGGTACCTGGCATCGGTTGGATTTTCACTTCATTGAAGGTGAATCCATCCATGGTGTGCATCCACAAGTCCCTGGCACCGGAGACTGGATGTGTCCGGACCCCGCCACGCTGGCGACGGTGGTGCCACATGTGTCGCGTTGTGCGCGCGACACGTGACGTGTGGAGGCCTTGTGTGTCCTGGCGGCCTTGTTGCTTCGGGGCCCACGGCCAGATGCCATCAGCTACAGTGCCGCTGGGGAGCTCGGTGGGGCGCGGGTGCTGGTGAGGAGCCAGCTTGTGAAATCGCCAAAAGCTCGGAGGAATAGGAATATATGTATGAATGTTCATGTCGTGCGAGGAAGGAACTTCATCTCCACATGCGCTGAAAAGGGATCAGGCTGAAGAAGAGCACCGTTTGTTGAGCAGAATCATGAACAAATCCATTTCTTCGAGAAGTGTTTTGGCTTCAAAGACTCCAAGGCCATGAGTGCCTGCTGTGCAGCCTCAGCTTGGCAGTGGGCCTTGTGGCTTCAGAAGGAGTCAGGCGTTGGGATCATGGGCAGTGCGGTGGCATGGTCGGGTCGTGTTGCTCATGATGTCGTGACCAGACCCACTGTGATCAATTAGATCGTTTTGACCGGATCTAATTGGTCATCCTTTATCCAAGAATGATCCGGTCGCGTGCCCGCTTCAAGCAAGTGGTGAGCGAATGTGAGCGACCGCTGGTGGCGAGGTAGGTTCGACCACCGGCACGGTTCGGCGGCCTGCGACTCGAATCCCGAGTCTTCTCGTCGTCCGTCTTGCCCTCCAGACACCGGCCACTTCGGCAGCCTGCCGGCGACCAGTGTGTTGGTCTCCGCGCTGTGTGCGCAACGGAACTGGCAGGTGGGGTCCGTCGCGAGGGGGTGGACTATCTTTCCGAGATTTGGTCCTTAGCTTATGCCTAGAAAAACCATTCTTGTTTCGTCTTGTTTCTTTGATTTTGAGGTGTGGGAGTTTTTAGGACACTCACATAATGCAAGAAGGGTTGTTCGATGGTCTACAGCCCGCAAAGCTCTTCGCAGCGCACATGTTAAAACTCTTTAGCCATCCTTGGTGGGCTTTACCGTGTACAAACCTTAGAACTGCTGGGGCAGCAACAACCTTGGGCGCTTTTGCCGACTCACGCCCACTTCATGGCATCCTTTGCTCTGAATATTGGCTTATTCTTGAAATTTCTTTCATATCCCGATATCCCACTGTTGACATGGATTTGCTTTCTCCACCTGAGACCGTTTTCCATTTCGTGACACCGTGACACAGGAAAAAAGTGACAGACGGACTGTTCACTCCGCCGATGTTCGGTGGAGTTCCAATCGGATCCGATTGGGGTTTGCCAGAAGGCCCCCCCCGAAGAGAAGAACCCAACAGCATTTCAGGCAAAACGACCCGACGACAAAAACATGACTCAACGACCTCTGCATCAAATATGCCCGCCAAGAAGCAAGAAGCTCGTGGATTCGAGAATCCGTTCCATATATGATATATAATTGGGGCTTTCCATCCACACGGTGCCCAGGTGGCTCTTTCTTCACTGGTCTCCCCCTGCTCCGATGCGTCCCATGGCATGGATGCTGGAGCTTGGGCCTCGGTGGCCGCGGCAGCGGTGGGGCGAGCGAGACTCCAGATCATGGAGGACGCGGAGATCCGGGTGGAAGCTGAAGCTGGGTCAGTGGGATGTTTGGTCGCAAGGATGGAAGTAGAACAGGAGGTTTAAAGGATGGTCTCCATGTCAAGTACAATCGGGGTCATGTCTATGGCGAGTGGTTTTGTGATGTTTGATGGGTTTCTCAAAGAGATGCAATGTTCAAGCAGATGGTTTGCAGAGTGGTTCATTTAAACTACGGTTTGGGTGTCTTCGCTGACGTTGAATACAAGCTGATAGGGCAGCACAATTCAATTGCTACTAGTTACTTGAAAAGGATGGTCAATGTATGCGAGTGTTGTTCCACCTTGTTCCACCTTTCTATCGACTTGAGAATGGTTATGTAAATAGATAGCTGCATGGCTGGAGAGATTAGCTGGCTCGGTGGACTCTTCCGGGACTCTCCGGCGACATCCTTGGGCAGGAGGCCCGGGTGCTGCTGCTCGACCAGCTCAAGGGGAAGAGTCCGCTCGTGCGCATCGGTGTGGAAAAAGTCTTTATACTACGATGGTCACACACACACACACATAGCGCGCCCTCAAAACCCCATGATCAACCAGGAACAGCAGACTCAAACTACTTTTCGAGCTACACCAATTTAGAAAGGCCTTGCTCAAATTCATCGGTGTTTGTTAGAAGGCGAAAATACAAGGCAGTTCGGATGGAGAGCTTGTGATTGGTCTTGTCGGCAGCCTTTTAGGACCAAAGGCATCAATAGGTTATGGGAGGTTTTGCGCCATGCGCGCGTCCCTGCACCGGGTGTCTGCAAGCTTTGCTGGACGGTGCAGGTTGACGCCCAGGCCGGTGGACGGAGGGAAGCCTCGCACCGGTGGGGTAGTGGGGGGGTGTCCAGGACTCAAAGCAGCCGGGGTTCTGGACACTGTTGAAACGAAGGCCTTGGAAACAGAACTCAAGCCCCCAAGAAGGGAGCTTTGGGGGTTGTCCAGAACTCGTGGAACCTATCCGGGATGTTCTTGAACCAACGGGAGGAGCCACCATTGCGTTCTTGGCAAGCAGGAGAAAGACCACGTTCGGGCGAGCTGGGTGAGCTGTGTGAGCTGGAAGTGGAACAAATTCTGCAGCAGCTTTGGAGGGTTCCTTTGAACACACCGGATATCCGAGCGTCGCGAGGTATGCTTACCCTGCGATTTTGTCTTCCAAACCTGGTGCCGGGCGACGGTTTGCTGCAAGCGTTGAGGCCACGAGGGATGTCATGTCGTACGTGGGTAGAATGGATGCTGAGACGGGGTCTTTTGGGTGTGAATGAATATGAGAGCCCTGACCAGGATTTGGGGTCAAACGAGAGGACCTGACAGTCTGGAGTCCGGAGAGACTTCCATTGCGGGATTCATTCTGTCTGGTTTTGCTCCTCTAGCTCGCCACATATTAGATCCTATTTACTCCAGCCCCGCCAGGAGACGCCACTGGAAAAGTTGCGCAACGTCGCCATCATCGCGCATGTCGATCATGGACCCGATGTCGATCATGTCGCCATCATTGTGCTTTCCTCATTTTTTGGCCATGGCTTCATGTAGGCCTTTGCAAGCTGCTGGACACTTTGTGTGGTTGGGATCCCCCTATTGTAGCGGTTTGCGTGGACACTTCTCCGCTTCCTGTTGGCTCTGAAGTCATCTGGCGATGGAAGGGGGGAGAACTGATCAAAAGCGTGTGACTTGAGACCTGACATGTTTCTGTTTTCGGGGTACAACCACAGATTTGGAACATCTCTGAAATGTACTTCTTGAATCTTGGAGTTGTGGTTTCAATGACCTCCCAGGTCTGAGATGGAGGGGCATTTACATACTGTGGAGTGATCTGGATTATTCCCCAGTCATGTTGACTCAGCCGCGCTCACGCGCAGGAAAGACCACGCTGGTCGATCAGCTCATGAAGCAAAGTGGCATGGGGCTGAAGGTGACCGAGCGGATGATGGACAGCAAGGACTTTGATGCAAATTGAGGGTACTGCAAAGAGCGAGATTCCTCCTTTCTTTGGAGCCCAAAAGACCGACCCCCCTGAGAATGAAAATGAGCATGAAACCAGGGGGATCAAGCTGTTGGACGGCGTTTTGCCGCTCTGTGGGTTGTAGTGTTCGAACCGCATCGGACACAATACATTTTCCACTTCACGTACGTGTTCATCATGCTAACGTAGGTGATGTACACTTGGCCGCTGGCCGCAGAAAGCACAGAGAATCAAACATCCGTGGTGAAGAAGCGGAGGACCAAATCCCTCCAGTCAGACGTCAGACGGACACTTGACATTTGGCCTCCAGGATCTTGAGCAAGAGAGAGGAATTACGATCCTCTCCAAAGCGACTCGAATCTCTTGGAGCTTTGGCGCGAGGGTGGGCTCCGGGTGCCCCAAAACACTTGAATGATGCTGAACGGCCCTGCTTTTTCCCCACGTTATAGAGTGTACTAGAGAGTCTTTTTCCCATGTGGCTCAGCTCCCATGTTTCTTGTTTTTTCTTGGTTTCTGGAATGGCTCGAGGAATGGCTATGTCTTCAACATCGTGGATACCCCGGGGCACGCCGACTTTGGCGGGGAGGTGGAGAGGGTCCTGTCGATGGTGGACGGGGTGGTGCTGCTGGTGGACATCGTCGAGGGCCCCAAGACGCAGACGAAGTTTGTGTTGCAAAAGGCGCTGAAACACGAGAAGATGAGGCTTGGAGAGTGGTGGGGAGGTGTTAGGTAGGAGTTAGGAGCCTTGGGTTCGGAGGGTCTGGATTTGGAGGCTCAGGTGGAAGGATGAGGATGGGTGGGAGAGTTTGAGCATGGGTGGATGGTGGGATTGCACGGGAAGATGATTGGATATTGGAGTTATTCTTGGTACCTTGTGCAAGTGCTTCCTTTTCAAATCTTCGTGGATCTTCAAACAAGCCAGATGGAGGAAGGCCGGCCGAGCCATAAACATGACTTTTGCTTGCTGGTTTTGGTGACACAGCAGGTCCCGATTGCTGTAAGGAAAGAACGTCCGCGCTGCACCAAGGAAGCCCTTGGTGGTGATCAACAAGGTCGATCGTCCCATGGTGAGTTGCTGGGCAGCGCTGGTGAGTTGATTTGTAGACCTAGACCTTTTGCCAAGACCTCTTTTACCAGGGACTCGGGACTTATAAGGGGAGCCAATTCGGGGCGCCAATTCGGGCCCAGAGTGGGGTCTATGATTTGGGAACCTTCGGCTTGGACCGTCGCACCGTTTGGCTTGAAACAGGGGTTCTGGGTTCAGGGCCGTTTCCAGTTCGTGAGCAACACGCGTTGGACGTTCTCGCCTCCCAGGGGAGAAGGGGGGAAGTGGAGAATGAGATCTTCGACGTCTTTGCCACGATGGCCACCTCTGATGAGCAGCTGCTGGGATTTGTCGTGTTTTTTGGCACCTGGAGGCTGTGGGTTGGCCAGGTTGGCCGGAACGCTGCTGGAGGCTTTGGAATCACAAACCCTTCTTGTGGGGCCGAAGAAGGAAACACAGACATACAAACCGGTGAATTGAGTGCGACGCTTTGAAAGGCTTTCAATCGGTTTGACCCACTAACGTTTTTCTTTGAAATGTTTGGTCCAGCCAGTGTTTGCGGAAGGCTCAGGTTTTAAAGCCCAAGCATTCAATCATAGCCAGTGGAATTGTTTGGGCTGTGCCACACCCAAAGGCAATTTGATCAGGAAAAATATCTGTCATGCAATTGAAGCTTTTGTAGTTTATTTTGAGGCACACTCCAAATGGCTTGCTGGAGATCAGTGAGTTCGACTCAAACAGCACAAACTGGTGGCGTGAACACGGCATCCACATGCTAGTAAACACCAACTGGTTGTCTTGTTTCTCAAAAGGTGTAGTCTCCTTTGGAGGGTTGGAGCCCATTCAGAGCCCTCAAATAGAGGGACCCCCCGCCAAACGGTTCCCTTCCCCCCCTTGGCCTTGTCAACTCGTGCCCAGGATGGAATATCCAACGCTCTACGCCTCCGGAAAGGCCGGCTTTTGCGCTTCCTCCCTGGAAGAGGCGCAGTCCGATGGACGGCCCACAGACATGAAGATCCTCTACGAGACCATCCGGGATGTGGTGCCGTCCCCGGAGCCCGCGAGCGTGGCCGCTCGGGCTGGGTTTGTTGCGGCGGGTGGAGCCAGGAGCTCTACCGATGGGGTTCGGGTTCGAGCCAGGTGATGGAGTGTGGAGGATGGAGTCGGCCCCGGGCCGACTGCAGGTTCCAATCAGACTTGGGGGGAAAGCAGTAATTGCCCGCGACTCAGTTCTTGATTTCTCAGAGTCGCTTGAGGATCCAGACATTCTGGCATTGGATGAGAAGAACAAGGGCTTCTCCATGCTGGTGTCGCAGCTGGACAGGCGCCACCGGTCTTCGTTGGGTCGGTCGGATTTTGGATCAAGTCTATGGATAGGTTGGGATGGAGGCAAGGTGCGTTCACCGTGTTTTCTGGGGGTGGGGTGCAGGACGGGGTTAGAACTGCACCGAGTCCCATTCTTTGGTTCTTTGGAGAGAAACTAGCCCGTGCATCGGCCGAGGCCGAGCCCGAGCTCGACCGGCCGGCTCGCCCCGGCCTCCGGTTTGACACCGCCAGGCTCCCAGCCCTTGGGCCCACCGTCACGGGAAAGATCTTCAGTGGTCAAATTCACAAGGGAGACAAGATTCACTGTGGCACGGCAGAAGATGGGGCGAAGACGAGATCAGACTTGGAGATCTTGGAGTGTGTTCTTGGAGAACCGGGTGAGGCACAAGCCGAGCATGGCCAAGCAATGGTTTCAAGCGGTCGATTTGGGGCTCTGCTTCTGCCCCACCTTTTGTGGCCAAGCAAAGTTTGCTGAGGCAAGAGCTTGCAGGGTGAGGTGGTGGCCTCCGGCAAAGTCAAGGCCCTTCACTACTTTTCCGCTTTCACGAGGGCAGAGTGGAAGGGGACGTAGAAAATGGTCCTGCCTCAAGGATCAGCATGCGCTTAAAAAAATGGGAACGCGTTCCACTTCACTTCTATTCAAGCTTTTCTTCAAATAGTTTTTCCATGAGTGCAACTAGAAGATACTCGAAGTATTAGTTATTAGTTAATTACTAGCTAATATCAGTACGAGTATTTATGCTTCGTTCTGCCTGTCCTCTTTTCGATACAGCCCCCCCGCTCGCGTTCTGGCGCGTGACTCGCGCGCGCCGCCGCACCAGGAGATCACCGTGGTGCTGGGCGTGACGCGCGAGCCGGTGAAGAGTGCCAAGGTGCGACGGCGACGGCGGCGCCGGGAGGTGCGCGAAGGTGCCGGGCGGTGAAACAGGTCATACAATAACAGGTAGACTCTATGGGGTGCAGGTGAACATAGATGAGGCGTGGGACACAGGTCAAGAGGTTCTTACAAGGGCCAAACCTGCAAAAGAGCCGATTCTATTTGGTTCTGCGGATCTTGAAACAAGACGCACAAAACGAGAAGTGTACAACTAGGTACACAAGACCACAGGCCGAAACGCCTGCGTGTTTGGCTCAAGAAAACAAAGACCGCTTTCTGTGAAGCATGGGTTATGAGCCCAAGCGGTCAGCGGTGCCATGACATCCATGTTGAGCCGGCGACGATCTGCATCCAAGGAGAGGCAGCAAACAGCCGATGAAAGGCTGGATGAGCTGCTGGCCAACCAAACGCCAGCCAGGCGAACTCAGAGCGCGGAACCTAGTGCGCGGAGACCGGCCTTGGTGAAGAGCACACGCCAGACACCAGCCGCAGGGACACCAGGAGGGGCAAGGACGGATCCCCGGACCACAGGTGCTGGAACGGACCAACTGCAGTTGGAACCACCACCTGGTACTATGTTGGCCGGACTACTTCCACCTCTACCTGGAGGAGGTCTTCTTGGTGGCGGGACTATGGCGGCTGCGGAAGTGATGCAGGGACAGCTTAGGGATCAACTGCCCGGTGGGTGGTCGATTCTACAGGGCCCGTATCCACAAGGTTATCCGGTGGCCTTCCATCCTGGGGGGACCACGGATGTATCAGGACAGTTGCCCATCCTTCCGGGACGTCGTGAACGTGAGGGAGGAAAGATGGCGGAAGAGGCTTCAACGTCAAGAGTGGAGCTATCTCATGGTGATCGAGAACGCCAACGTGGGGGACCTCAGCCTGATCAAGCTCTTCGTCCTTGCCGTGTTCCGGACCCCGTTCCTGAACAATATGAGGGTGAACTTGGAGGACAACATGGACGTGACGTGGTGACCGTAGGTGCTATGTCGAGGCAACAGTCGCCTATCAATCCTTGGTCAGCGGAAAAGATCAAGGAAACCATGAATCTCCCGCAAAGCCAAAGCCAAGAGGCGGGAGAAACCGTTGAACTTCTTCGCCAACGAGTTCTTCGTGATGCCGAACAGCGTTTTGCTGATGGTGTTCGACAGCTGCTGGGAGGAGGCAATCCGCCTTCCGACGCTTCGTTCAAGACGGCTGCGGAGAATGGAGGCGCAACACAAGGGGATGGGAAGCAACAGGTGCCGGAAACCGGGGGACCACGGCAGCCTTCGGGGACTGGAACACAGGTGGCTTCATCCTCAACTATGACGACAAGTGGTGGTGTTCCTGTTCCTGGAGGCAATCTTCCTGGACCTGGACCCGTTCAAGGAACCGGACCTGGAGTATGTTTCCCTTGGCCATATCCCCCTGGAATTCAGCTTGGACCAGGTGGATGGGGTGCTATCGGGCTACCGCCCAATGGTGGTGGAGGTGGCGGAAACTATGGACCTGGCCTGGTTGGTGGTGCTCCTATGGGTGGGGGCAGTGAGGAATCGGTCAATGAGACCTTTCGCAGTGTGGATCTACCTCCACTTCCTTCGGACGCCAATGCACTGTCCTTCGGTGATTGGTTAGCCACGATCCAGCCTTTGATCGCGGACGTGAGTGTGTCGGCGGAGGAATGGTGGGCTGTGACCTTGAAGGGTGTTGATGAGCTGTATACCCAATGGTTGGCTTCGGATCCTCTTCAACGTCTTCGGTTGGACACTGGCACTTCATCGGCGGCTACAATGTGGCCTAGGACCGAAAGGAGGGTGACCAGTTTGTTGTTGCAGGCGGTCCCCGACAACATCAAGGCGGAGGCTGTGGCTGCGAGGAAGCTGAGCGTGACCCATTTGTTGTTCACGCTGTTCGTCAAGTTTCAACCTGGCGGACAAGGTGAGAGGGTCACTCTCATCCGGTTTTTGACGGAGCTCAAAACTACGGGCTCTATGGTTGAACTGGCGCAGAACCTGCGTCAATGGCGGAGATGGTGGAATCGGGCTCAAGAGCTGGCGGTGATGTTGCCAGACCCTGTCATCTTGGCAGGTGTTTTGACTCGGGCTTCGGACGCCATTGCCAAGTCTGGTGCGCAAGCTGCATACCGGTTGTCGGTGTGCAGGCAACAGTTGCAAATTGATACAAGACCCAACTTGGACTCCATCAAAACCTTCGCGGAGCTGCTGCAGGCTGAGACCGAAGAGCAGGCGTTGTGCGCTGGAGGAATTGGGGGAGCGGGAAAAACGACCGTTCCATTTGTGAAGGCAGCAGCGTTGGGGGCTTCATCAACGACGGCGACTTCGGCGACGGGAATTGCGCAGGAGTCCAAGGCCGCTGGGGTGGAGCTCAAAGGCGACTGTCGCTTTTGGTTGTCGGACAAGGGCTGTCGAAGAGGGGATCGATGCAAGTTCAAGCATGGCACCCTCAGCCCCAAGGAAAATCGGTGCTTCTTCTGTTCCGGCCTCAACCACACTCGGCGTGATTGTCCGTATGTGAAGAAGGAGTTCGGGAAGGAGGAGAATGTGAAGGTGGCTAAGGTGCGGGGGGAGGATTCACAGCCTTCGTCGCCGGAAAGAGAGCCACTTAAGGTGAAGGTTGAAGAGACCACTGGAGCTTCGGGGAAAAAGACTGAGGCGGAAGCCGGTTCCGGAGTTGCAGGGGGTCCCATGCCGAACAAGTCGGACTCCATCGACATCTTGATGGGGGAGGCATCGGCTTTGTTGAAGTCATTGCGGAGTGCCAAGGTCAAGGCCATCAAGCTCAAGTTCATGGACGTGGGTGGCAACTTGGACGCGGGCACCGCATTGGGGCTTTTGGATGGTGGTGCAACTCACCCCCCTTCGTCAAGCTCTACCTGGTGAACTGGAAAAGGCTGAGAGGGTTCATGTGGAGTTGGCGCATGGCTCAATCATGCTGCATCAAGACCCGGTGACGGGTACGTTGTTGTCGGCCGACGCGGTGGAGCCCATCGTGCCGGTTCGAGGGTTGATTGAACTGGGCTACAAGATGGTGTGGTCCAGGAGTGGTTGTGCTGTGGAGCACCCCCGCAAGGGGAAGATCGTTTCCCGCCTTCGTGAAGGTTGTCCCGTGGTGCTGGAGGAAGATGCCCTGCTGCTCATCCGGGAGATCGAGGAGGTGGAGAGGAAAAAACATGATGATGTCTACCGGGAGGAGAACTTGGAAGAGGAGCTGCTGACGTGGTGGAGCCAACGCTTCCCCGAGGTTCCTGCTAGGATCTTCCGGTACATGACGGAGGAGCATGATTTTGGTGGTGGTGCTCTTCCATGGAATCGACGGCAGCGACGACGGCTGCTGGCGGCTAAACGTGTGGTGCTTCATCTCTTCGCGGGGGAAAAGGCCGACGAGTGGGGGGAGCTCGAAAAGTATGACTGCGAGGTCATCACCTTGGACATCATGCACAACTAGTCGCAGGACCTGCGCAACCCGGTGTTGTGGGCTTTCTTGATGCGTTTGGCCAGGCAAGGAACTTTGGCAGCCATCATCGGGGGACCCCCATGCCGAACAGTGTCGAGGCTGCGATTCAGGCGACCAGGCCCAAGGCCACTTTGAGATCGAGGAGCACATCGCTTCGGGCTACCGAATCTCAGCGTTGCAGAGCAGCGTTTGGCGGACCACGACGCGGCCCTCGTCATCAAGCAGGTTGGACTCTACCTGGCCACGGAAGAAGCCAAGGTGGAGGTGGGTGGACCTAAAGGAACTACGGGCTTCTTGTTGGAGTCTCCAGCAGACCCGGCCAAGATGGTGGGGGATGGTGGACGAATGCCGTCCTTCTGGAGCTGGCCGGAAGTTTTGGGTTTGTTGGAGGAGGAGTCCATGGGGATGGTCACTCTGGATCAAGGTGCCGTAGGGCATTCCAAGAAGAAACCGACATCGCTGCTCACAAACATGCCGGGGATGATGGAACTACATGGACTTCGAGCACGAGGTGACGATGAACCCCTTCCTGATGACCTACAAGCCAGCATTCAGGCATCAAAGTCCTGGTCGTTGTGGGCTCCGGGATTGAGAGCTGCGATTAAGGAGTCCCTCCGATGCATGTTGGAGCAGGGTGCAACACAACAACGAAAGATAGCCAAGCTATCGCAAAAGGAAAAGGATATGTGGGCGACACACTTTCGCCAAGGACATCGACCCTTTCGCAGGGACTGCAGGCTTTGCATTGAGCAGGCAGGAACCCAAAAGCCGCATCGACGTCGAGGGGACACACAAAGAATGTCATCGGCGTGGTCAGTGGCGGTGGACATCGTGGGCCCGCTATCTATGACAAGGGATGGCGCGTCAGGGCGGGTCGTTCGCTATGCTATGATCGCGGTGGCATTGGTCCCGGACTTCAACGCGGTGGCGGAGGATGATGTGGCGGAGAAGGACGTGGCGGAGAAGGACGTCGCGGCGAAGGATGGGGCGGAAGATCAACATGATGGAAAGGTTCCTATACCCAAGGAGGACCCTACGCCGGAACAGGTGGAGGCACCAGAACCAGGGGAGGACGTGGGGGTGATGGAGGGATCCAGCCCATGACTATGACTTTGAGGCGGAGCTCCAAAAGTGTCAACGTGGAGTTCCTCTGAAGCACGTGACCTGCATGGAGGTGCTGGAATCCCGGGCCAAGGCTGAGGTGATTGTCGGCTTGCAGAAGTTGATCACCAAGTATAAGGCCATGGGAGTGGCGGTGAACCGCTTGCACACCGACAGGGCGAAGGAGCTCATCAGCAAACAGGTGGAGGCATGGTGCAGTCGATGGGGGATTGTACAAACGTCCACTGGAGGAGATGACCCTGCTGCCAACGGCCATGTAGAGGCGGAGGTGAACCAAGTCAAAAGGTGCGCGAGGCTACTGCTGGCGCAACATGAATGTGCAGGTCAACTCTGGCCATCGGCGATGAGGTACGCGGTGGAGGAGAGGCGAAGACGCCAGTTGGAGGAGCTTGGAGTTCCCACATTGCCTATGCTGCCATTCTATGCCACTGTGTATGTGAAGGCGAAGAAGTGGCATAAGGAGGGGGACTAATGGCACCATTTGTGAAGGGCAGATTGATGTGTCCAAGCCCCATGATGAACGATGGATGGGTGGTACAGGCCGAGGATGGCAAGATCCTTCATGTTCGAGAAGCTGTACAACCGAACACTGAGGCGGAGGACCTACGTCGGGAACTTGAAGATCAACAAGCACAAGTTCGCCTACAGTTGGAGGAGGAGCCACGACCAGGCCAACCATACCATCGCATGTGGGGGAAACAACCATTGGATGGGCAACCACGCCTTCCTCAAGATGGAGGACAACAAAGTGCGACTATGCCAACAGCGGGGGGGACTTCTTCTCCTTCTTCAACAACAGCTTTGGGCACAGCTTCGGGCGCAGCAGGTCCTGGGGGAGTTGCTGGTGAGACCGCGGGAGCTGGAGACGCGAGGCCCGGGGGAGCTGTGATATGGAGAGATGACCCTCTGGCCATTCCTATCTCGACTACATCGTCATCATCCAAAGGTGTGCGGACGTTGAGGGTTGAGACTGGGGACGAAGGAGCATTGGCCGCTGTTGACATCGAGCCGCACTACCAAGGGGCGAGGTGGTTGTCAGTGCAAGAACTAGAGGACTCCTGGGGTGACCAACAGGGGTGTCTACAAGAGCAGCTTTTGGGGTGCATCAACCAGGTGCCGACCACGGAGGAGCAAGGGGCGGTGCAGGGTGAGTTGGTGAATCACCTTCTGGGCTGGCGCGATGAAGTTGAAGGTCAGTTGATGGAGCTGAGTCGGGTGGCCAAGGCACTGCAGATCCGACTATGTGCTCTTCAAGCTCAAGGTCAACAAGGTGGAGAAGGTGAACAGGTCCTGCAGACCATGACCGCCCCGCTCTCGGAGGTGCGGGAGAATGCGGACGCATGGAGGCCTTCGTTCCAGTATGAGTACGACGTGCTGGTCAAGGAGACTGAGGCGGTGGTCCCCACGAAGAGGCATTTGTTGGCGCCGGGCACGGAGCTGGTTCCGGGGAAGATGGTCTGTTGCAAGAAAGGGGGCACAGGAGCTAAGAGATCGAGGGCGGTGATCTGTGGCAACCTGGCTTCGGAGCAAGCTGATCCACCTCCTGGAGGTTTGCCTGGTGGCTCCTACGCAAGTGGGGCGGATGGGGTGCTCATTCGGGCATCGCTGTTGGAGGCCAGTCAACGTCGTTGGGAGATCACCTCGTTGGACGTGAAGTCCGCGTTTCTGCAAGCTCCTCGACCACATCAACCAGGTGGCAAGCCCGTGGCAGTTCAGCCGCCGAAGGTGATGGTGGACCTGGGAGTCTGTGAACCGGATGAGGTCTGGCTCATCCGAAAAGCACTCTACGGGTTCAATACGAGTCCATCGTACTGGGCGATCTACAGGGATCAGGTCCTGGAGGAGTTGGCGTGGGAGGACAACAACGTCGCCTACCACCTGATCCAGACCAAGGAGCGCAACTTGTGGCGCATTGTGGAGAAGGAGACACAGGTGGTCAGAGGCCTTCTCTTGGTGTACGTCGACGACCTCCTCGTGATGGGAGATGCAGTGGCACGACCTGGTCTTCTCAAGTGCATTCAGTCCTGGTGGAAAACGTCCACGCCCGAGACGGTGGATGACCAGGGTTGGGTGAGGTTTTGTGGGTACGAGCTCAAAAGCCATGAAGGAGGTTTGTTGTTAGGTCAACCCTCCTACCTGGGTGAGTTACTGCAGAGGCACAACATCGTGGACAAGAAGACGGTCCCGCTGCCAAAGGACGCTGTACCTCCTCCAGAGGTGGAAGAAGGGGTGACGGCGGAGGAGATCAAGAAGGCACAGGGCATCGTGGGGGAGATCCTGTGGGTGGCCATTCGCAGTCGGCCTGACCTGTCCTATGCCATCAGTGCTATGGGAAAAGAGGTCACCAAACGGCCGAGATGGGTGCTTCGGGTGGGACAACATGTTCTGGAGTACTTGAATGGCACGATGGACTACTTCCTGCACTATGTTCCCTGTGGACCTGGTGATCGTGGACCTCATGGTGATCTTCCTCTGGAGCGCTCTACATCGTTGGTGGAGCTCTTCAGCGACATTTCGTATGCCCCGCAAGGGGAGAAAAGTGTGCAAGGCATCG